TACCGACAGGTAATAAGGAAAGTCAGGGAGGTTGAAGGCTTAGTTGAGGGCTGCATGCCTAGGAAACAGCAAAACCCATCTTGGAGGTGCTCTCAGGGGTACCTGAAAGGTAGCCTCTTCATGCTGCACCAAGGGGGGTTCTCCAGAAAAGCAGGCCAGGGCTGCAGCCCCATGCAACATCCTCACCACCAACAAGAGTCCCCTTCTCTGCCTGACCCCAGCCAGGGCCATGCAACCATGCATGCCCAGAAGCTGCGCGGGCAGACCCAGTGCCTACAATAACCGACGATGAACACGAAACACAACCAGACCAAGAAAGCCAGTTTGTCCTCCCATCCCTCCCAGTTAGCGTTCAGAAAAGGTGAAAACAGAAATAGATGTGAGAGAGCCTTAACAAGTGTCCCAGGGCTTAGTTAAATCACAAGGTCAGGTTCGGAAGGAAGGAGAACAGATGGTGCCCGGCTGGTGAGCAGTGAGGCTGAGGTAGTTCATGGAGCCTTGGGCTCCCCCCGCCCTACCCCGTGTCCCTGGACTACTAATTCAACTTCTGACAGAGAACATCTCAGCCCTCAGGGCAGCAAGGAGGAAGCCGATGAATGGTACCAATTCAGGTGGCTCTCTGTAGCCTACACAGTGTTGGGACAGGTCCTTGGTGGGCAGCACTTGCTAAAACTCAAGGTGTCCCTAAACAACCTGGCCCCAGAAAGTACCCACAAGGGCCTAGAGAAATCATGCACAGGAAGTGAACGCAGGTAAGCATAACGGAAGTGTTTCACAGCACACCTGGCACACGGCAGGCTCTCACCCACCTGCAGAGAAGACAGACGGACAGGTGGGTAAAATCAGAGGCGCCTGAGGTGCAAGGACTGCTTTTCTGTGTCTGTTGTAAGATACTTGCTCAGTTCAAATGTGACTTTTAGAGTGAAGTTCTGGGCTGTTAGTAATTGCAGCTCCTTAAATAGGAAACAGGCGTAACTAAGAAGGGCTGGGGGCGGTGGGGGGCAAACCCCCTCAGCCCCACCCCGCCCTCCCCGTGCGCCTGGGGCACCTGCCCCACAGGCACTCTCTAGGACTGCTCCTGACCTGACACATTTGTTCCTCTTCCTCTCCTTGCTCCTCTTCCTCCCTGGCTCACCTTGTCTCCCCACGGCGACCCATCTTCACAAAAACCATTTTGCGCTAACGACCCAAACACTCCCTGAGCTCCAGATGCTTAGCTATCATGAGGCTGGTCTTTCCCCACAGTCAGGTCATTTTACGCCTCTCCTTTACCGACAGGTAATAAGGAAAGTCAGGGAGGTTGAAGGCTTAGTTGAGGGCTGCATGCCTAGGAAACAGCAAAACCCATCTTGGAGGTGCTCTCAGGGGTAGACAGATGTCTAGTCGCCTCCTAGACAGCCTCACCTGCATTTGCCCACACATACCCAATTTTGAGATATCAAAAACAACCCCTTCCTCCGACAGAAGGTGTGGTCACCCCAGACCCCGCGGTTGCTCACCTGCACCCTGGGCCATCTGAGTACCCTGCAACCCCCTTCAGCCCACTCCCTTCCTGCCACCACAGCTCCCTCCTAAAACACCCCCCACCCAGGGCTCCCCTCCTGCAGGGAATCCACGCCCACCCAGCGCCTATGGTGTCCTCAGTAACCCTGAATGTGACCCACCGAGCCCTGGAGGATCTGACTTTACCTCTCCAGCTTCCCAGTTCACCCTCTACCGGGTCCCCACAATCAGCCACCCCCAAACCCACCAGGCTCCTTCATGTCCTGCAGAATGACCTACCAGGGCCTGTTCCTGAGACCCACCCCCACCCTGCCACTCTTTTGCCGCCCACTCATTCCTACATGTTGTGCGGAGCGTGCCCTCACGTGTGAGACCACTGCCCAGCACCAGCCGCCCACACCACTGACACGTGGCCACCACCCCCTACTCTCCTCCACCACACAGCGGGTCTCAGACTCTGCGTGGATCAAAATCACACGAGCAGTTTATTCAAAGCCAAGATCCCAAGTTCCCTCTCTCCAGACTGTGACTCCACGGGGCTGAGGCAGGTCTGGGGTGGGCTATAATGGCTTCCATCAAGGGTACGTGGGTCCATGTTGGTCTGATGGTCAGAACTAGGACCAGCATGTGAAAAATACAGGCCCCCACACTCATCAGCGAGAAACATGACCGTGTTCTTCTGGTTCTTGGATCATTAAGAGCCAGGCAAAATTGGAATGGGCTGCTGCGCCGGGCGCCGAACACACTCCCATCCCTGCGCTGTAGAAGGCAGGCTGGCAGCCCCTGGGCCACAGGAGATGACCAAGAAATCCCTCTCGCCTCTGAAGGCCTTGACAAAAGCAGGAGTTGGGCACTGAGTTAACCCTTGGGGCAGCGCACTAAGAGCCCTGTTGCCAACAGCGACCTCAGGGACACACCCCACAAAGAGGAGCGGTTCTTTCCAGGCCCAACCACAATCACCAGCCATGAGCTAGTGCCCCCCAGAAGCCGTTGAGACAGAGGCCGGTGCTCCTCGATGTTGCCTTAAAAATTGGACATGGAACCCAGGTGTCCCTGCTATTAGAAGCCGAGAGCCGTGAGGGTTTCCACGAGTCATCAGACCAAAGACAGAAATGAGATGACAAAGATCAAACGACCTTCATGTTTACTCAGAAGGATTTTCTTTCGGTCTGTGTTTTTGATAAAAATCATGTAAACACATCCCAGATCCTGACCTTCAGGAGATAACTACTCGATTTTGCCGGAATACCAGCGAGGCCGATTTTTCACAGACAACCCTGAGACCCCTGTTTCGCTGACTGCGAAAGAGGAAGCCATGCCCTGGATTACCCTGCCTCCTCCTCAGAAGCACCGGGGTCTCTTCCAGAATGTTCCTGACTGGGAGATAAACACGCCCTTTACTGGGAGTTCAGAACTTACAGAAACAGATATGGACTTCGAATTTCAAAAGATCAGTGTCCCCTTCTGGTCACAAAAAAAATTGTAATGTCCAGTGCTCACGTAATCATGGTGACTTTGAGGTAGGCAGGAAGTGAAACTGTCTCTGGGTGGGGCTCATGCACCAGCTGTCTTCCAAGGACACTGCCGGATTTTCTCAGGAGCGGAAGGAGAGCTTCTATGTCCTGAACTTCCCCACTGGCCTCAGAGCACTGCAAACACACAGCTGTCGTCTCCCTCACTTCTTCCCCTCGGTCCAGCTTCTACAATCGGGCGGTGTCAACAAAGACCATGAGAGAAGCAAAAGTTCTCCAAGTGCTGGCCAGACTTATTTACTAGTGCTTTCTATCCTAGTCCCCCTGAAAGGACCAACGTTCAAGTTAAATAGCAAAAGATGGATGGGAGAGTGCTGATGACAGGGGCCGGCTCCACTCCAGGGAAAACAGAAGCACGGGCTCGCTGAAGAGTGCCGAGGACCCTGCCTCCAATCAGCTCGGCCTCCGTCTCCTCTGCAGCCCCGGGGCACAGGTGCACAGCGCAGGAGCTGTCCTCCCTGTTTCCTGTGCTGCTCGGGTCCTGGCTCCCAGCTCAAGTGCAGGCCGCTTATGGTCCAGGACCCTGTCCCATGCTCCTGGCCTCCACCGTCTCATAGCCCTTCACACACTTCAGAGGACCCTGGGTTTTCCAGAAAACACCTGATTTAACATTCCTTACCCACTGGGTGTGTTGGTCACTTGAAGACCCCTATGCACATAATACTTTTCAAAGAATCACCTCTTCAGAGGGGTGGGAAACACCATAGGGCCTCCACGACGGACCTTGAAATCACTAGGCTAATCCTCCACCCGCGGCACCGGCACCCCGGGTTCTTCCCGGTTGGGACGCCAGTTCTGTCCCAGTTGCTCCTCTTCCAGTCCAGCTCTCTGCTGTGGCCCGGGAAGGCAGTGGAGGATAGCCCAAGTGCTTGGGCCCTGCGCCTGCATGGGAGACCAGGAGGAAGCACCTGGCTCCTGACTTCGGATCAGCGCAGTGCACCGGCCGTAGCAGCCATTTGGGGGGTAAATCAACGGAAAGGAAGACCTTTCTCTCTGTCTCTCTCTCACTGTCCACTCTGCCTGTCAAAAAAAAATGTTCTTACTGTTTGTAAGGCTCGTGCCCCTACACAAAATCATCAAACAATACCTGTCATTCCCTAAACAGAATAATGTTCACTGTGAAGAAGAACAGAAAATATAGACAAGTGAAAAATTAATTAAAATTTAATTTTAAAACTAATTTTATATTACTCAGAAGCACCTCGCCAAAGTTACCCAGTATTACTATTTTGGCATGTATTCTTCAGATTACACGACTATGCATATAAACTCTATCACAACCACTGTCATATCACAGACCCTATCACACAATATTTTCATTTAACATACAAGGGGTCTTCAAAGAGTTCATGGAAATGCATATTATGAAAATCAAAGAATAGATTTCAAAAAATATTTGCACCACAATAAACTTATGTTTTATTTCCACTTTCCATGAGCTTTTTGAAGTACTCTTGTATACTAAAATGCATTCTAGACTAACTCATACTTGCTCTTTAGAACAGAACACTTACATAAATTCGGTCTATTTGAGACCAATCTTTGACGTTCAGGGTAAAACTCACCATCACTGGTTTACAACTTGCTGCCAAGAAGACTGGGCCCAGCAGAGATACACGCACGGCACTCAGAATTATTTACAGGCTTTTAATTCTGACAGTGAAGTGTCAACTGTATTATGATCCCACGTAACAGAGAGCTCTGGTGCTGTTAAATTGGCAATTAAAATGTTTCACGTTTTAAAAAATGAGACTGATTATAATTATAAAGACTTAAGGTATCTTCGAGACCACAATCAATATTTATTTCACTTTTATTAAAAGTACTACTCCTGACACTACATATTTTATCATGGAAATGAGAACTCACATTATCTTTGTCAGCTGTCAAAACAGCTCCTGAAAGCCAAGGTCATCAGCCAACGCCAACCCAAAAACAATGTGATGGTTAAAATGCAGAACCCACCTCAGACTCCTCCGACACGACGCCCGAGCAGGTTCTGCTCTGCTCAGAGTTCTTTCCAGCGCCGGAATAATGACAGCACACACATGCACTTGAGCGATCTGCACTTTAATTTCCACTGCCCGCTTCCTCTGGTGCAGTCCTAAAGACTGTTACGAAGGGAAGCGACCAGCAGCCTGCGCACCCTCCCACCCCCGTTCTCTGTTCTTATTCTTCTCAAGTCTTTGAGTTGGCATTTTTATGATTAACCTGATAACTACGGCCCACAGAACTGGTTAGAAATACGACTGGGTTTTTCCCAAGAGTCAGGCTCTCAGACTGCAAGCAAAGAAAAAACTATAGGAGTTGTCAAGTTAAAAGTGACCAGCAAGGCCCCATCTAGGCCTCTGCCTCCCTTCTCAGGGGTTTTCCATCACCAGAGTCACAAGTCCCTTCCAGGCCCATAACACAAACAAGGGCGACCTCTCCCTCAGAACCCTGGCGGACGACCTGTGCTGCCTCCCCCTCTCATGGCTGTGCCAGTGGTTTCCACGCCTCACTTTTGAGTGTCCTACTTATTTTATCCACTTCATTATTTTTAAGACATTTATTTATTTGAAAGCCAGAGTTACAGAGAAGAGGCAGAGAGAGAAAGAGAGAGACAGAGACAGAGAGAGACAGAGATCTTCCATCTACTGGTTCACTCCCCAAACGGCCTCAACAGCTGGAGCTGGGTCAACCTGAAGCCAGGAGCCAGGAGCCAGGAGCTTCTTCCAAGCCTCCCTCAGGGGTGCAGGGGCCCAAGGGCCTGGGCCATCCTCTACTGCTTTCCCAGGCCATAGCAGGGAGCTGGATCAGAAGTGGAGCAGCAAGGACCCGAACCAACACCCATATGGGATGCTGGTGCTGCTATGCCACAGCACTGGCCCCTATCCACTTTATTTAATCTACTTTATTTCAGCCACAATACTTGTTGTTATGAACACTCAACAGCTGCTCCAAACCACACCTTGATTTCCTCCTTATCAATGCCCTCCATCTCCAGATTCCATTGGCATATTCCAAAGCTCCACACGCAAGGACTATTCCAACCGCAGAAGACTTAGAATGGTAAGGTCATTACACACTGATACCATTGTATAAAAGTACAATTTTGACTCCATGCTGAAAAACCAAGAGCTGTCCCAGTGTTAGTTGTGAGGCTGTCATTCTAGAACAAAGACTCCTACAGAAGTAGCAAAACAGGTAACAAGCTTCAACAGAAAACCAGTGTATAAAACAAAGAAACAGGGCCTGATGTGGCATGATGGGTTAAACTGGCAACTGTGACACCGGCATCCCGCATCAGAACTCCAGTTTGAGTCCAGGCCACTCCACTTCCTACATAGCTCCCTGCTAATGCACCTTGGAAAGCACCAAAAGATGGCCCAAGTACCTGGGCCCCCTGCCACCCACGTGGGAGACACGGATACAGCTCCTGGCTCTTGGCTTGGCTCTGGCCCAGCCCTGGCTGATTCAGACATTTGAGGAATGAAACAGCTGATGGAAGTTCTCTCCCCCCCACCACCGCTGCTGCTCTGCCTGTAAGATAAAATGAATACATCTTTAAAAAAAAAAAAACAAAGAAACCATGGAAAATTTAAAAGACAGCCTCTCTCCTCTCGCTCACACCTCTGCTCACATTCCAAACACGTCTTTGCCCACAGACCTGAATAAGTAACAATTACAAGTTTATGCTCCCATTAAATTACCATACAGTCAAAACTTGCCACCTACGTCACACCTGATGCCAACAGAATTCAGAGCAGGCATGCCTCGCTCTGCCGTGAGCCTGCTCTCACTGGCTGAGGGCAGATCCCACCAAGGACGGCGCGAGGGTAGTTGGTATCATACCAGGACAGACAAGCCCTCAATGGAAAACATGCCACTCATTATTTCTCATTCTGGCGGCTCTGCTCTGCTCTGTCAGTGCAGTCTTACCTCCAGCAGGAAGAGCCAGCAAGGGTGGGGGGCAGGGATGACGCCAGCCAGACCGCCCACAAGACAGGCACCTAAGCCAATGAAGGGACCTGCATGAAAAGGCCGGCAGGCAACCTTGTCGTCTAGCACACGGGGCAACACGAGCCTGGCTCAGAACCACGGTGAAACTGGCTCTCCCGTCTGGGGGTGTGGGCCCAGAGCCGGGGAACCACCGCCTAGAGAGAGGTGTGATAAGAAGCATGCACAGCTTTCTAAGGCAAGAGTGATGCAGTCTGCCGTAAAGCCAGCATCTCTCCCTGACTGGCAATCACCAGGACAAAAGCTGGTCGAGTGTGTACACGGGAACAACAGGAGCCAGCGACCGGCATTCCACAGCTGTTCTGAGCAAAGCATCTTCTGGGGTCTTTGTGATGAGCAAGGGGCCCTCTCGCAGGTGCTGCTTTGGTACACAGCGCGGTAGATGTACTACGAACCCATACCCTGCCTTTCTAAGCTCACGCCTGCGAGGCACATTCCATACCCAAATACCTGGTACAAACCTTCAAGGCAATTCTTCATGCAAAATTTGGAGGGAGTTTCATACCAGTCCCCACCCATCTGTCTCCTTCTCTGTTGGGGGGGGGGGGGAGATGAGTAGGAAAATCAATAGGGTGGGGAAGGAAGGGCAGGAATGAGACCACTTCCAATCAATCCCTCCTACTTCTACTGTGAAAAAGCAGTGTGCACACCAGTCTTCCTCCTGTACTCAGTTTCCACTCTGTAGGAGGCATTTCAGGGCTGGTGCTGTGGCACAGCGGGTTAACGCCTGGCCCGAAGCGCCAGCATCCCATATGGGTGCCGGTTTGAGACCCAGCTGCTCCACTTCCAATCCAGCTCTCTGCTATGGCTTGGGAAAGCAGTGGAAGATGGCCCAAGTCCTTGGGCCCCTGCATCCACATGGGAGATCCGGAAGAAGCTCTTGGCTCCTGGCTTCAATGGGTGCAGCTCTGGCTGTTGTGGAGTTGGAGAGTGAACCATCGGATGGAAGACCTCTCTCGCTCTCGCTCTCGCTCTCTCTGTGTGTGTAACTCTGACTTTTGAATAAATAAATAAAAATCTTTTTTTTTAAAAAAAGGGATGTATTTCTAAGTAGATATCATTAGTGCCTTGCCTCTCCAGGGCCTTTTTTCTCATTTACTTGAGATGCAGAGATCGGGGAATGGCACAGAGATCTCAGCGGCCCACTCCCCAAATGCCAAGGTGGCCAGACTGAAGCCAGGAGCTGGGAACTCAATCCAGGAATCCCACATGGAGAGCACAGACCCAGCCGCTCGAGCCATCATCTGCTGCCCTCGCAGGGTGCACATGAGCAGGAAGCTGGAATCAGGAGATGGGCTGATGGCACTCTAGGTGGTCCCTTAACCACTGTGCCAAGCATCCACCTCTTGGGGAGGCCTTTTTTACCTTTTGAAAAGTGATGCTTAGAGACTTTATTTTAAAATCAAGTTATCTTTGCAAGTGGCAGAAATTAGAAATCAACAAAGTATTTACTTAGGTCCCTTCCATGGCTAATTCAGTTATTATGCATGTCTTGGAAATTTCATGACCTAAAAATTCAGAGATCTTTTGTCATACTGATTTTTTCTGTACTGATACTTGTTACAGAGGCACAAGGTCCAATCAGAAAAAAAAATGAATGAATGAAAAGGAGCCAGAACTGTGGCACAGTGGGTTAAGCCACCACCCGCAACACCAGCATCCCATATTGGAGCACCTGTTTAAGTGCTGGCTGCTCCACTTCCAATCCAGCTGCCTGCTAATGCACCTGGGAAGGCAGCAGAAGGTGGCTCAAATACTGGGGCTCCTGCCCCCACGTGGGACACTTAAGTGGAATTCCAGGTTCCAGGCTTCGGGTGGCCCATCCCCAGCAGTCACAGCCACTTGGGGAGTAAGTGACCCAGCAGAGGGATGGTCGCTCTTGCGCTCTCTCCTTCTTTCCCTCTCTTTCTCTCTCTGCTTTTCAAATACAATGAATCCTTTTTAAAAATGCATGGCAGCATTGAGAGCAAAAACTAAACAGGATTATCACTAACCATCCCAGCTGATGCTGGCAACTAATGTGCATCTCCTTACTTATATTCCTCTTGCTGCATCTGCAAAGCAGAATATAACCTCTCTGTGGGCAGAAGCACATTTTTCTGAGACACAAAGCTCCAAAGGAACTTATTCTGTGTCTGACCCTAAACTAAACCTATTTACAAAGTAGCTCAAGATGTAAATTTTTGGTCTTCATGGATAACAAGAAAAATGACCAGCAGGAAAGCTGAAAGCCAAGACCACGGTGGCCACGCTTGTCCATCACTCAAGAAAGGCTGTTCTCCAAGCTTCAGCATGATGCTTAGCATGCTTGCACTCCACGGCCTACCCACAGTTCACATTCTCTGCATCCACCAAAGGCTGAAAACTCCTCAATCGCATGGATTTCAAAACCCAAAGATACCCAGAGATAAAACTAATCCATGTCCAACCGTGCCTTTGCCACGTGGGGGTAGTTCAAAGAGTTCTTGCAAAATGCAACTGAAAGATAATATCCATTTCCATAAACTTTTTTAAAAAGGTTTATTTATCTGTTTATTTGAAAGGCTGTTATAGAGAGAAAGACAGAGAGATCTTCCATCCGCTGGTTCATTCCCTAAATGGCCGCAATGACCGGGGCTGGGCCAAACTGAAGCCAGGAGCCAGGAACACCATTCGAGTCTCCTACATGAGTAGCAGGGGCCATCTTCTGTTGCTTTCTCTGGCACATTAACAGAGAGCTTGATTAAAAGTGGAGTACCAGGATTTGAACTAGCGCTCTGATATAGGATATGAGCATTGCAAGCAGAGGCCTACCCCATTGCACCACAACAAGAGCCACTCAATGAATTTTTTGAAGCACATTCACAAGTCTGATGGTTGAATGGAAGTCTTTAGAACCCACAAGCCAAGATCTGTGTTACTGAAAGAATTAGTGCCCTCTGCAATCACTGTATTTGGCCTATGTGGGGTGAGGAAATTTTTTATTCCAAGGACCATTTTTGGATATTTATAGCGTCATTTGCAAGCCATACGAAATTAACAACTTAAAAATTAGCCTCCTATATGGGGTCAGTGTTGTGGTACAGTGTGTTAAGCTGCAGCCTGCAAGGCCCACATCCCACATGGGTGCTGATTCAAGTCCTGGCTGCTCCACTTATGTTCTAGCTTGCTACTAATGCACCTGAAAGATGGCCCAAGTGCTTGGGCCCCTGCACCCACATGGGAGACCTGGATGGAGATTCTGGCTTCATCCCAGCCCTGGCTCTTATGGCCATTTGGGTAGTGAACCAGCAGAGGGAAGATCAATCTCTCTCTCTCTCTGTCTTTCAAATAAATAATTTTTTTTTTTTTAAAAAATAGCCTGCTGTAGACTTACTGAATTTCAAATCCTGCCTGCTGTTGCTTTGGCAAGACCAGATCAAATGCTTTTGTGAGCCTTATACAGTCCATGGGCTGCATCTTCGCCACTCCTGCTGTATCAAGACAAGTTTAATGCAGCTGACATCACAGTTTGATTCTCAGAAACAACCTTTCTTACCAAGTACCAAGATTGAAACCTTCCATCGTCTTTGAGATTACAAAATCTAATCCCCTGGCAATGTCTCCTAACCAGGTCCCCATGAAAGGCAACGCCCAGGGAAAGAAATTCCCCAGAATGAGTTCACAATCACATGTACGTGCCATAGAAAATTCCAATCCTTCCTTCCTACTATTACATCTCAAATGAGACAGTAGAATATTGGAAGTAACCACGAACAACACAGTTTAACTTTCAAATTCCCTTAAACAACTAGAAGGAAGGGGAAGCTCACGACTTGAACACAGCCTGCCGCACTGCTGAACAATTCCAGATGCTAGGAACCACTGTCCAATGATGGCACGGGATGCTGCCTCCTTGTACTTGGTACCTGTAGGCCTACTCTGGTCATCTCAAGCAGCGCCCTCCATGGAGGAGCCACTCCATGTATTTGAAGGCCTCTGTCTTACACAGAGGCCTCGCCAACCTTCAGCACCACAACTGCTTCTTGTGTGGCAATGTCTAGATTCTGAGCCACCAGAGATCCTCCCTCTGAACCATCTCTAGCGTGTCAATGCACATACTTTAGCACAAATCCTGAAAATGAGCACAGATACAAGGCTACTTCAACAAATTTGTGGAAAATGGAATTAAAGGGTAAGCTGGGGGCCAGCGTTGGGATGTGGCGTAGTGGGTCAAGCTCACACCTGGGACGCTGGCCTCCCACGTGGGCACCAGTTGGATTCCCGGCTGCACCACTTCTGATCCCTGCTAATGACCTGGGAAAGCAGAAGATGACCTAAGTGCTTGGGCCTTTGCATTCATGTGGGAGATTTGGAAGAAGCTCCTGGCTCCTGGCTCCTGGCTTCAGCCTGGCCCAGCCCCAGTCGATTGCAGCCATTTGGGGTATGAACAAGCAGATAGAAGATCTTTTTTTTTTTTTTTTTTTTGACAGGCAGAGTGGACAGTGAGAGAGAGACAGAGAGAAAGGTCTTCCTTTGCCGTTGGTTCACCCCGAAATGGCCGCTGCGGCCAGTGCGCTGTGGCTAGCGCACCGCGCTGATCTGAAGCCAGGAGCCTCCAGCGCCCCGACTGGGACTAGAACCTGGGTGCCGGCGCCGCAGGCGGAGGATTAGCCTATTGAGCCACGGTGCCAGCCGCGGACAGAAGATCTTGCGCGCTCTGTGTGTGTGTGTGTGTAAAATTCTGCCTTTCCAATAAATAAATAAATCTTTTAAAAAATTTTTAAATAAGCTTATCTTGGTGCAAAAAAAAAAATTTTTTTTTTTTTTTTTGAAATTCACAAGTGGTATTTTCCTAGTACACATCTTCCAGAACACCTTGCAGAGCCCTTGTAAACATCAGTCCTCTGCGAGCCTGAAAATCCAGCAGAGGAGTTCTGTTTGTTTTCAGCTGCCTCACACGGGGTGTACATGACAGTCGGGGGCCTGTTGTGTCTGTTTTACTACCAACCCTTTTCCTATCCAGAGAATTTTTCACTTCCCATCCTGAAATTATGTAACACTGAGTTTCTGAACCAAAATGTTCACCCTCATTAAATTTCATATTTGTGTTAACTGATTTTGTTAGCCCCTCAATATGTCTCTGAATCATGATTTTGTTATAAAATATTTATTGTTTCTAGCTGGAAATATGATAAGCCAACCTTTTAAACATTGATTACTGAAAAACTCCAAAGAGGACTCTCTTCCTCTGAGGTAAAAATGCTTTGGTAGATCAGAATTGGCGGTGACAGTAATGGTATTTTTCTCCTCACTCTGCTGTACGTGTAAAATGGCATCAATCAAATGATTACTAATGAGATATTCTAACCATCATCACCATGTCCTTGAAAACCAGGATTTACTATAGACATAAGTTAACACGTTTGAATTGGATATTTCAATAAGATTTCTTTTTTAAAAAAGATTTATTTATTTGAAATAGTTATCCAGAGAGAGAAGGAAAGCAGAGAGAGATAGAGTCCTCCATCCGCTGGTTCACTCCCCAGTTGGCCACAATGGCTGGAGCCGCACTGATCCGAAGCCAGGAGCCAGGAGCTTCCTCTGGGTCTCTCATGTGTGTGCAGGGGCCCAAGGACTTGAGCCATCCTCCACAGCCTTCCCAGGCCACAGCAGAGAGCTGGATCAGAAGTGGGGCAGCCGGGACTCGAACCAGCGCACACATGGGATGCCAACACTGCAGCCACTATGCCACGGCGCCAGCCCCTCAATTGGATTTCAAAAAACCTTTTAACTTGGGAAACACACATTCCCAGCTTTGTACACTGAAAAGAAGTAGAAATAATACATTTGTATCAGTGAACATCTCTAGTATTCAGACAATGCTCTTACAATGCCATTTCTCATCAAAAGCAAAATATTCTTTTAAAATAGCTGACTTCAGGTCTCGTGGAAAAAATACAGGATGAGTCTGGAACATCTTGTCACAGCAGATAGCAGAGAAGCCATCAAACTCCACCAGGATCCTGTCAGAATTACTCCACTAACAACTGGGAGAGACTCTCGTTGGTCAAGTACAGGACAGTTTAACTTCAATAATAGCAATTTTAATGGCCTGAAGCCCAGCAAACATGTTAAATTAAACAGTCACCTTTTGAAGATGGCAGGGAAACTTGTTAGCTAAAAGGCACACCACGCATGGACACCAACGCTACCACTGGGCAGCCAAACAGCAGCTGGATTGTGAGAACATTCCAAAGCAAAATCACAGATTTCCAAAGGCACAGGCTGTCATCCTTAATGAGCTAATACAGCTAGGACACTAACATTAAAAAACATATAGGCCGGCGCCCCAGCTCACTAGGCTAATCCTCCGCCTTGCAGCGCTGGCACACCGGGTTCTAGTCCCGGTCGGAGCGCTGGATTCTGTCCTGGTTGCCCCTCTTCCAGGCCAGCTCTCTGCTGTGGCCAGGGAGTGCAGTGGAGGATGGCCCAAGTCCTTGGGCCCTGCACCCCATGGGAGACCAGGATAAGTACCTGGCTCCTGCCATTGGATCAGCGCGGTGCGCCAGCCGCAGCACGCTGGCCGCGGTGGCCAATGGAGGGTGAACCACCGGCAAAGGAAGACCTTTCTCTCTGTCTCTCTCTCTCTCTCACTGTCCACTCTGCCTGTCAAAAAATTTAAAAAAATAAAAAAATACAGACGAGGGCCGGTGCCGTGGCGCAGTAGGTTAATCCTCCGCCTGTGGCACCGGCATCCCATATGGGTGCTGGTTCGAGTCCTGGCTGCTCCTCTTCCAATCCAGCTCTCTGCTATGGCCTGGGAAAGCAGCAGAAGATGGCGCAAGTGCTTGGGCCCCTACACCCGCGTGGGACACTGGGAAGAAGTACTTGGCTCCTGGCCTTAGATTGGCGCAGCTCCAGCCATTGCGGCCATTTGGGGAGTGAACCAATAGAAGGAAGACTTTCTCTCTGTCTCTCTCTCTCTCTCTCTCACTGTTTGTAACTCCAACTCTCAAATAAATAAATAAAATATTAAAAAAAAAACACATAGATAAGCAGATATTGCATGCCTTCTGATGAAAAAAATGCCGAACTTGCTAAAGAGACCAAATGTGATCGAGTCTCCAAATACAGCTACCAATTTACAGGAAATACAGGGGACAGAGGAACATGTTGAACTGCTGCACGAGTGTGTCATCAGTAAAGCCCAGCGGGAAGGAACTCTATAGTCAACAGGCCCAGCATCTTTTAACAAATAAACTTCAAGGAAAGGACAGAAATAAAAAGGAAAACCTGCATAATAATAATAATAAACTATACGACATATCAAGGGGAAGACTGAACTATAATCAAATCAGGATGACAAAAATCATGAAGAATGTCAGGAAGTCATTATTATCAAAGTCCAGAGAGTGGTTACCGTGGGAGGCAGGGGAGGCCGGGGGGAAGAATGAGCTATGATGGGAAAAGGACACACATGCAGGCCAGACTTGAGTCGTGGTTGCTGGGGGTTGTGCCTCAGAATCACTCACTGCATTGCCTGTTTCACGTGCCTTCAGCATCTGCGCTTTATGCTTCCAATAAAAAGGGGAAACTTCTGACTAGAGGAAGACTCAGAACCTGAAATAAAACACTTCTTGCCTTTTCCTCCTATCTGCATCTTCCACATATGACCTTTAATGGGATAGATATTAAAAATGGACAAGAAGAGCTTTGGCTTCTCCCACTCCCCCCAAAATCAAATAAGCTCAGCTAGCTTGAAACAAGGCACGCATGTGGTACTACAGATCTGGTGTAGCGTCAGTGCACACATCCTGGGGGCTGGGCTGGGGGCTGGCTGCCAAAGGCTCACAGCTGCCCCCCTCGTAAGGAGACTGCCATTAGCTGCATGGGAGTCACCTTCCCATTGAAGTTATGCCCGATAGCCTGCCCAAAGCCCGCCCAAAGCCCAGCACCCCCTGACTAATACTGGATACCCCTCAAAGTGAGACCGAATCCATAGAGCAATCCACGCTCTGGAGCCCCCCGCCCCCGGGCTGTGCTGAAGTGAGGCGACTCGCTTAGCCCCCCACACCAACCCAGTCCTGCTGTCCTCAATCCCCTGCCCCCAAAGCCACATCCTCAATCATTCACAGCACCCGACTGCAGCCTCAGGTCCTCCTTCTAGAACACCTGAGACTCTTGAAGGCGGAGGGGCATTTTTGCAGTACCAAAGCAACTTTAGCGTAACAGATGAATTACTATCAGTAAAGAGTCACCATTACCAGGCATTTGCCATTCGAGGAACACCAAATGCCATCAGCACATCCCCAGATATTATTTTTCTTTATGTGGATCAGCCACTGACTCCCTCCTAAGAAAGATTCTAAAGGTGGCTTATAACAGCTATACCTTACAAAGGACAAATAGCAAAGGATCCTAGTCTCCTCTTGCTAGTTAACTGCTAGGACTTGTAGTCAGGAATCAACCACATTGTCCAGAAACAAAGACAAAGTGGGCATCTGTCCAAATCCCCACATGCATCAGCTCTTCAGTTCTTCCTAGGTTTTGAGCGCTGTCAGGGTCTCAAAGTTTCAAAGCACCAGTAAGGACAATCCGACCATGAACACTGACATGCAGGAGCATTCCAATCATCAGAAGGGTCCTCGGTGACTTTGTGCCTGGTGCTCTTCGCCACAGGGTGACAATTTCAATCTGTCTGTCCATTGTGTTTGTCAACGTGTCAAACAGACATGGAACTAGGACAGGAGCTAGCACCTCTTCCCACTCACCTCCCTCCCAGACGTCTACATGTATCAAACTGGAAGCCTCTGTGTGTTGACAGAAGGTTCTAGAGAAGGGCCTCCTTGAAGGTGGACATTAGGGACACTGAGATGGCCTCAGGGCACAAGGTCTACCTTAACCAGTGAAAGTGCACAGCTCATCCATCTTCACCTGCCTACACATGCCTCTGCCTCCAATGCTGGCCACAATGCACACCGAGGAGACGGATGGCAAATCTCTTTAAAGCCACTTTGGAACGCACTTAAGAGAAAGTTTACTTTAGCTCTACGAATGGGTTCTGAGCGCTGCACACCAGCTGGATCACCTCCAAAACTCAGAACCAGGAGGCTCAGGCGGTCATCATCCATCCCTAACTCCAGCAAGGCAGGTGTGTGTCTTCTCAGGCCCAGCTCGATCTCATGCCAACTTAAGGAGCTCTGTGTTCACTCAGACTGCCTCTAGTCCCCAACATCTTTCCCTCTGCGGGACAAATGTTGTGCTTCCTGAATCACAGGCGTCTGTGTCAAAATTCAAGAGTGTGCACCCAACAGCAAGGAAGGAATGCACTCCTTGATGTTCACCCCAAGATCACAGCGCTTCTAAGAGTGGATTTCTTGTTCATGAATAAAACGTCGCGCTGCCACTGAATCAGAACAAATTCAATTTGAGGTTTTTCAGCATTAAAAAAAAGACAAGTTCTTATTGCATTTTTCAAAGTAGTTGAAGACATTAAACTGCAAACATTTTTAATTCTCTGAGTTACATCACAGTTATATTAACTAGGGACAAAAAGAGCATTTTTTGTAGGGAGTGATGTCAGCAAGACAGCAGACCATGAGGCTCCAGGCCCTCATTAACCCAGAGAAACTGAAAAACAACTAGGGACTGGTCACATTAACTTTATAAGACATCTGGAAAACAAAGTTCTACAGCAGAGAAGCAAAAATGCCAAATCAAGTGGCCGCATTCAAATCACACACAACTTCCTGGTGTTCTACTCCCGTTCTCGTCCCAGCCTGGCGAGACCTTGGTCCAGCTCCCAGGTTCCTCTCTCAGGAGGGAGTAGAGCTGATCTCTTTGGTAACAGTTTCACCTGTCCACCAGCTGCTTTGAGGTTGGTCCCTTTGTCTGCCAAGACAGAGCTCAGACTCAGGAAGCAGGAAGCAGTACTGAAAGGCACAGTGAGACCCACAGACGCCCCCTCCAGGGCAAGAGACTGTAACCAGAGGGACACAAGGGAATACCTAAGGCTGGGGAGCCAAGGGAAAAACTAAGGGAAACTAAGTAAAAGCCAGGGCCAGCGCTGTGGCACAGTGGGTTAACAGCCTGGCCTGAAGCGCCAGCATCCCATATGCGTGCCGATTCAAGACCGGCTGCTCTACTTCCAATCCAGCTCTCTGCTATGGCCTGGGAAAGCAGTAGAAGATGGTCCAAGTCTTTGGGCCCCTGCATCCGCGTGGGAGACCTGCAAGAAGCTCCCTGCTCCTGGCTTTGGATCGACGCAGCTCCTGCCGTTGCGACCTCTCTCTCTCTGCCTCTCCTCTGTGTAACTCTGACTTTCAAATAAAAAAAGAGAAGAAAAGAAACTAAGTAAAAGCCACCATGTTGGGGCCAGTCCTGTGGCGTGGTAGGCAAGCATCCCATATGGTCGCCAGTTTGAGTCCTGGCTGTACCACTTCAGATCCAGCTCCCTGCTGATGGCCAGAAAAGGCAATGGAGGATGGCCCAAGTGCTTGAGCCCCTGTACCCATGTAGGAGACCTGGAAGAAGCTCTTCGTACCTGGATTTGGATGAGCTTAGCTCTGGCCATTGCAGCGATTTGGGGAGTGAACCAATGGATGGAAGACCCCTTTCTCTGTCTCACCCGCTCTCTGTAATTGTGCCTCTCAAGTGAAAAAAAAAAAAAGCCACCATGGATGTGAGGGAATCAAAAAGTACATAAACAGGCTGAGGCAAGACACAAAGACACAGGCTCAGAAAAGGACTAGCAACACCTTAAGCCCTCCCAAGGCTTAAAGGGCTTAAGTCCAAAGCTTAAGCGATCAGTGTAGGTTTTCCCTGACATAGAGCCACTCTAAAAGGAAAAGAGAAAGCAGCTATCTTTTTCAAATGCCTAATGTTCAACAACAGCAGCACATAAACACACATACATAAGGCAGTCAAACAACAGCAAAGGAAGAAGTCGCCTATTCAAAAAAAGGAAACACAGCAGGAGAAACCGTCCCTGAAGAAAAATGGGCACTGGATGCACTAGCAAAGACTCTACCATATGGGTCTCAAATGTGCTCTAAGAGCTCAAAAAACAAACATGAAAAAAGAACCAATCAAAAAAGTGATGAGATGAGAAGACAAACAAACAAAAACTGTAACATAAAACCAAACCAACTCTACTGCTGAAAAAACACATAGCAACTGAACTGAAAAATACACGAGTGCATTAGCAGGTAGAAGAGAGAATCAGAGAATCTGAAGACAGGTGAACTAAAACTTCTGAGTCTGAGAAGCAAAAAGGAAAAAAGAATGACGAAAAGTGAGCAGATCCTGAGATGTGTGTGAACCAACATAAATATTATGGGAGACGCAAACCGAGAAGAAAGGAAATGATATTATTTGAAGAAATAATAGTGTACAGTTTCCCACATTTGAAGGAACATGCAAATCTACATATTCAAGAAGTTCAACAAACTCCACAACAGGTTAAAATGCAAAGACACCCATCCGAACACACATCGGAAGACATCTGTTGAAAGAGAGTACTGAAAGCAGCAAGAGAAGGGACCTGACGCATGGCGCTGTCCTCAGTGGTGTATCAGCAGACTGTGCAGCTGAAACCTGGCAGGCCAGGAGCAATGGAACCACCACCAGAAACTGGCAGCCAAGAATCCTCTATCCGTCAAAACTACCATTAGAGATGAGGGACAGATTAAGATATTCTCAGGCAACCAACAGCTGAGAGAGCTCATTACTACTAGAACTGTCCAACCAAAAAAAAAAAAAAAAAAAAGTTAAAAAGGCATATTTCAAGTTGAAATTAAAGGACACTAGAGAATCTCTTGAAGCCATATTAAAACAAAGTTCCCCATCCAGCGCCACGGCTCACTAGGCTAGTCCTCCGCCTACGGCGCCAGCACCCTGGGTTCTAGTCCCGGTTGGGGCGCCAGACTCTGCTATGACCCGGGAAGGCAGTAGAGGATGGCCCAAGTGCTTGGGCCCTGCACCCGCGAGGGAGACCAGGAGAAAGCACCTGGCTCCTGGCTTCGGATCAGCGCAGCACCGGCCATAGTGCCATTTGAGGGGTGAACCAACGGAAAGAGGACCTTTCTCTCTGTCTCTCTCACTGACTAACTCTGCCTGTCAAAAATAAATAAATAAATAAATAAAGTCTTAAAAAAAAAAGTTCTCCAGTACAGGTAACTCCATGGACAAATCTAAAAACCAGTATTATTGTAACCTTGATCTGAGCCCCACTTCTCATTCTTCCGAAAGATTTAAATGACAAATGCATACAATAATTATAAGTGCATGTTAACAGATACACAGCTCACAAACATGTAATCTGACAACAATAACATAAACCAGGGGATAGAGCCATAAAGAAGTAGAGTTCTTAGGTGATTATTGTTAAACTGCTAACGGTTATGACTTTTAAAAGATTATAAAAAATACCCAGGGTAACCACACAAAAAAAAACCTCTAGAATATATACAAAAGTAAATGAGAGAAAAATCAAAGTATGTCACCACAAAAAAATCAACTTTGAAAGGAAATATGAAGAATACAAAAGACAAAATAGTTTTCAGACAAACAGAAAAAAACTAGGATGATGACAAAAATATGTTCTCCTCTATCATTAATTACATTAAATGTAAATGGATTAAGCTCCCTTATCAAAAGTTATAGATTGGCATGATGGAATTTAAAAAAATCCAATTATATTACATCTATAAGTAACTAACTTTGGATCTAAGGACAAGTGGAAGGGTAGAAAAAGATATTTCAAAAAGTAATGAAAAGAGAGCAAGGGTGGCTATATTAACATCAGACAAAATAGGTATTAAGTCAAAAACTACTGCAAGGAACAAAGAAGGATATTATATGTTGATGAAAGGGTCAATACAATCTGCTATAACAAGTATGAATACATTAAAGCAAATATGAGGGATCAAAAACATATGACGCTATAGGGATAGAATTGAAAAGAGAGAAACAGACAACTCTACAATGACAGCAGGAGACTTCAGTACCCCTTTTTCAATTATGGATTCTAACTATAAAGAAGACCAGTAAGGAAACAGGGGACTTGAACTACTGAGGACCAACTGCACCCTAACATACATATATACAGCTCTCCAGAAAACAGCAGAACACACAATTCCCCCACCACACAGGACAGACCATTTGTTAGGCCACAAAATACATCTTAATAAATTTTAAAAGACTGAAATAATATAAAGCAATATTTCAAATCACAATGTAATGAAACTAGAAATCAATACCAGAAGGGAAACTGGAAAATCCACTTACAGAAACTAAACAACACAATCTTAAACTACCAATGGGTCAAAAAAAAAATCACAGGGAATCAGAAAATATCTTGAGACACATGAAAAGGAAAACACAAACCAACACAAATGCAGCAAAAGCAGTGCTAGGACAGATATTCATAGCTATAAATGCACATTAAAAAGAAGAAAGATCTCAAAAAACAAAAAAAGTAAGAAAAGAAAAAACCTAACCTAACACCTTAAGGACCAGAAAAGGGAAAAATTAAACTTAAAGCTAGGGGAAGAAAGAAAATAGTAAAAATTAGAATAGTGCTAAATAAAGCAGGGGATAGAAAAATAATAGAGAAAATCAATCAAACTGAGAGCTGCTCCTATACATTTTTAAAAAACCTTTAGCTACACTAAGAAAAGAAAAAAAAAGAAGATTCAAATTACTAAAATTAGAAAGTGGGACACAGATAAGTGTAATCCTCATCAAAATCCCAACTTTTTTCTTTTTGCAAACTAGAAAAAAATCCATTCTAAAATTCATTTAAAACAGTAAGGAACCCTGAAGATCCAAAACAATCTTGAAAAAGAGGAACAAAATTGTAGAACTCACACTTTGTAATTTTAAAGCTTATTATAAAGCTACAATAATTAAAACAGTGTGATACTGGCATAAAGACAAATACAGGATAGTAAGAAAAGAACAGGAGATCCCAGAAATGAAACCTCACATTTATGGCCAAATGAGTTTTGTAAATATATATATATATATATTTTTTTTGACAGGCAGAGTGGACAGTGAGAGAGAGAGACAGAGAGAAAGGTCTTCCTTTGCCGTTGGTTCACCCTCCAATGGCCGCCGCGGCCGGCGCGCTGCGACCGGCGCACCGCACTGATCCGATGGCAGGAGCCAGGAGCCAGGTGCTTTTCCTGGTCTCCCATGGGGTGCAGGGCCCAAGCACCTGGGCCATCCTCCACTGCACTCCCTGGCCACAGCAGAGGGCTGGCCTGGAAGAGGGGCAACCGGGACAGAATCCGGCGCCCCGACCGGGACTAGAACCCGGTGTGCCGGCGCCACTAGGCGGAGGATTAGCCTAGTGAGCCGCGGCGCCGGCCTAAATATATTTTAATTTCTTATTTATTTTGAAGGCAGAGAGAGGCAGATAGACAGGCAATTTTTCATCTGCTGGTTCATTCCTGCTGGACCAGGCTGAAGCCAGGAGTCTGGAAGAGTCTAGGCCTTGAACAAGCATGGCAAGAACCCAAGCACTTGAACCCTCATCTTCTGCTTCTCAGAGTGAGTATAAGAAGGAAAATGGCTAGGAAGCGGAGGCAGGGCTCGATCCTAGGGACCCTGATGCAAGATGTGGGAGTCCCCAAAAGTTTCGTAAACCACTGTGTCAAACACTTGAGTCAAGTGTTGGCCAACAGTTCCAAGACCATTCGATGAAGAAGACACCATCCCTTCAGCAAGTGGGTTGGAAAAACCGAATATGCACATGCAAGAGGATGAAGTTGAACATTCACACTACACACAACAATTAAGACAAAATGGATCAAAGATCTAAACTTAAAAGCTAAAACTCTTAGAGAAAACATGGAGAGGAAGCTTCATGACACTGGATAAGCCATGGTTCTTTGGATATGACACCAAAAGCACAGACGGGGGAAAAAAAGAGAGGAACAACCTGAACTTCATCAAAGTTAAAACCTTTTGAGCAACAAAAGATGCTACCAAGAAAGAAAGTTTAAAGGTAGCCTACAGAATGGTAGAAATGTCTACAAAACATACCCATCTGATAAGGGTTTTTTTTTTTTTTAAGATTTTTTTATTTCTTTAAAAGTCAGAGTTACACAGAGAGAGAGGAGAAGGAGAGGGGGGAGAGAGGTCTTCCATCCACTGGTTCACTCCCCTGCGCCGATCCAAAGCCAGGAGCCAGGAACCAGGAGCTTCTTCCAAGTCTCCCACATGGTGCAGGGGCCCAAGGATTTGGGCCATCTTCTACTGCTTTCCCAGGCCATAGCAGACAGCTGCATTGGAAGTGGAGCAGCTGGGTCTCGAACCGGCGCCCATATGGGATGCTGGCACTGCAGGCAGTGGCTTTACTCACTACACCAGGGTGCCCGTCCGAGATTTATTTATATTTTATACTAACTTTTTACCTTTATACAGGAAAAAGATACCAACCTTGAGAAAGATACACAGAAGTAAGGCAGAGTTAAAGAGATGATGCATTCAGCATACAATCAATGCACTATCTGTTGAGAAGCCAGTATTTGACTCAGTGAATGCCATTCTCACACTGCAAAGGAGAGTGGTCCCGAAAGTGTGAGAACTAAAACCAGCAAATGCCTCCCTCTCCCCAACCAAAATACGCCGCCTTTGATCAAATTTCACATTTCTGAAATCATAAACTAAGCATAAACAAAAATTCATTTTATGAATTTTAAAACAAACATGTCTTTTCCCTCCCCTACTGCCTAACAGGAAAACAACAGCTCCTAGACTCAACACTATCCTCTTCAGAGGAAGCAAAGTGAAGTCCTTTTAAAACACTACCATCTTTTCTCTCGACTCTCCACCCGAGTTCCCCACAAATCCACCCAGCTAAAACCAAAAAAGCAGACACAGGTCAGGATCTGGGTACAGACTCACACGTTCAAACAATGAAACGCGACCCTGCCAAGTCCTTAGGTGGTGTCCACTAAGCCTATTTTTTCTCATACAGAAGAACAGTCCCCGTGACAGCAATGCCAAGCTGGAGACCACGGTTCAGTTTTATTGTCATCAGAGCCTTATCTCTACAGAATAAACATATGTGTGCTCTTTGCTCTCTTAGGACCGCTCACAAACAAATCCGTCAACGTGGCATTCGAGAGGGGCTCCAGGTTCTCTGTCCTGGTCAACACCAGCAGGTGCTCCTTTTAGAGCTCTCTGCACTTGGAAGCTCAACCACGACAAACCTGTGAAGCCAGACGTGGTGAGAGATGCAATTCCATTTCACCCTCTTACCTCCACAAAGAGCCTGGCCACAGGACCCCTTGTGAGAACACTTATATTATATTATATTATATTATATTATATTATATTATATATCATATATCTTACCATATCATATATCAGCAGGTGTCATTCTGAAAAGGAAAAACCAAGGCAGAGTAGGAAGGAAAACGGTGGATGATTTGAAACACAAACTGCATTCAGGAAGTAGAAAGCAAGCAGGTGACAAGAAAGAGCTCTGTCTGCCCACAGGAGGGAAGGAAAGCAGGGAGGCGAGAGATAAGGCAAGGAGGGAGGGAGGGAGGCAGGCTCCGCCTGGCAAGAAGCTTGGTGAAGCTACTCTCCTTCCATGTAAAAATGGACTCAGAAGTGTGTCCGTCCCCGCTGGCTGTTAAACAGAAGTAAAAAGCCAACAAAACTATTCCATGGAATTTTCAAAGTCCACTTTCCATGGAACTGAGAGAGAGATGTAATATTAACAATTCAAAACACCTGTAAGAACTGGAGAAACCACCGAGACTGCACAGAGGGAACCTGCAGGTGACATGCGGGTGTGGAAGGTCAAGGGCGCAGTGCAGCAGGGACTGAGGAGCTGGAGCAAGTAGAGCCCTCAAGGAGCTGCACAGTGTCAGAGGCTCAGAGAACTTCACGGAAGAAGCACAGCTGCAGGACAGCCGTATCTCTGATGGGCCAGAGACACAGGGAGGCTCCAGCTGCAGCGCTTGGGAGCTTCTCAGCACTACAACACCTCTCGGAAAAGCTGGTTCTGGAAAACCCAACTCATGCAATGCTGAGTAACAAAAGAAAAAAAAAGCCATGAAAACCGCCTCTATGAAAAAACATGTGGTTCATAAGATGAGCCCACAAAGAAACTCCCTAGAGTGCAACTGAGCAGATGACAATTATGACCAAATGTTTTGCCATAAACGTTTAAAACCTGAGGAGGCAGTCATCGCTAAGGAAAGAGAGACAGAGAGACATAACCACAAGGCACAGACAGAAGAACTCAAGGAAGAAGGGACAATATAGGCTGGAAGAAATCGGAAAAGAAATTTTAGAGGAGAGGCCAGCGCTGTGGCGCAGCACATTAATGTCCTGGCCTGAAGCACCAGCATCCTATATGGGCACCGGTTCTAGTCCCAGATGCTCCTCTTCCGATCCAGCTGTCTGCTATGGCCTGGGAAAGCAGTAGAGGATGGCCCAAGTCCTTGGGCCCCTGCACCTGCTTGGGAGACCCAGAAGAAGCTCCTGGCTCCCGGTTTTGGATCGGTGCAGCTCCCACCATTGTGGCCAAGTGGAGAGTGAACCAATGGATGGAAGACCTCTCTTTCTCTCTCGTCTCTCTGCCTCTCCTCTTTCTGTGTAACTCTGCCTTTCAAATAAATAAATAAATCTCAAAAAAAAAAAATTTAAAAAAAAGAAAGAAATTTTAGAGGAAAAGAGTTAGAATTGAAGATGAAGTTGAAATGAGCCAGAAATAGAATAGACAGCATAGAAAACAAAGGTGAGTGGAGGTATGGTTTAGAAAAGCCAAGAAAATGAAACTGAACTAAAGAAAGTGATAGAAATGATTGGGGAGGGCCGGCGCCATGGCTCACTAGGCTAATCCTCCGCCTAGCGGCGCCGGCACACCGGGTTCTAGTCCAGGTTGGGGCGCCGGATTCTGTCCCGGTTGCCCCTCTTCCAGGCCAGCTCTCTGCTGTGGCCAGGGAGTGCAGTGGAGGATGGCCCAGGTGCTTGGGCCCTGCACCCCATGGGAGACCAGGAAAAGCACCTGGCTCCTGGCTCCTGCCATCGGATCAGCGCGGTGCGCCGGCCGCAGCGCGCTGGCCGCGGCGGCCATTGGAGGGTGAACCAACGGCAAAGGAAGACCTTTCTCTCTATCTCTCTCTCTCACTGTCCACTCTGCCTGTCAAAAAAAAAAAAAAAATGATTGGGGAGAAAAAAAAATCATAGCTTCTGAAGAATAGCAGATGATGGCCAACACATGTACAGTTGGAATTCCCCAAAAATAAAAGCAATGAAATGAAACAAATATTTAGAGATACTGTTCAAGAAAAAATGTCCAGGAGCCGGTGAACTGGGTTAATCTTCCACCTGCGGCACAGGCGTGCCGGTTCTAGTCCCAGCTGCCTTCTGACCCAGCTCTCTGCTGTGGCCTGAGAAACCAGCAGGAGATGGCTCAAGCCCCTAATCCCACATGGGAGACCCAGAAGAAGCTCCTGGCTCTTGGCTTCGGATCTCAGCTCTGGCCGTTGAGGCCATCTGGAGAGAGAACCAGCAGATGGAGGACCTTTCTGTCTCTCCCTCTCATTGTAACTCTACCTCTCAAATAAATAAATAAAATCTTTTTTTCTAAAGTAAAAAATGTCCAAAATGCCAACAGATTTAAATGTATATATTGAAAGAAAAGCTGAGGGCACCCTTATGACAAGGGAAATTGCCTCTGAATAGCCACACAGATAAATCTAGCACAAGCAGACTTCCTGAATCTGGCATTAAAAACAAAAGACAACTCCTCGGGATAGCTAGGCAAACAGCAGAAGAAATCAAGTCATCTGTAAGAGCAGAATACATAAAGCTGGACTCCTATTTCTTCACAGTAACTTCCCATGCCCTAACTCAGCACAGCATTTCTTTAAGACACTTAAAATATTTCAGCAAATAAAATATGAGCCAAAGACTGCTTACCCAGCCAGGCATTCTTTCAAGTAGAAAGACCAGCGACTAACAATCAAATATTTGGGCCTTCAGGGATGGCTGTCCCAATGAATTCCCACAATCAGGGAAACAAAAGCAAAACAAACTGGTGAATGCATTCATTTAGCTGTAGAACTAAGACGGAGAGCACATGCAAAAATTAAAGTGATAAACCAAATCTAGAAGGTGTGACACTGCAGCCAGCAAACACTGGTGCAATAGGGAAGGGATAGGGTAATGCTGTTTCTCCCCCATAGCTGGAAATCAAAAAAGATATCCTTCAAGTGTGAAGACACGAGCAGTACATACATACACGGCTAACAGTGCAAAGATAAATCCTAACGAGAGCCTATAAGGAGACTAAAACCAAGTAGGGGAGGGTAGACTGGGAATGGGGACAAAGATGACAGGTGCTGAGCAGCCTGACTCTGGGCAGGAGCCTGACTTTGGGCAGGAGCCTGCCTCCACCAAGCCGGGGAGTAAAGGTGTGGTCATTAAGGAATTCATAAAGGTGTGGTCAACCAGGTTCCTATAGAAAAAACACAAACATTTGCAAATATCAAAAATAAAACATAAATTTAAAATAGCCCCCCAGACAAAACACTAGAACATAAATAAGATAAATAATGAAGAAGACTTAAAGAAAACTATACCCCCCCAAAAAAAGACAGAATTTATACCAAACAGAACTGTCATATTAGTCACACAAATGAGATAAATTCACAAATCAAAAAAATTTCAGAGGAAACCATGAACCTAAATTTCAATCCACTCTCAGGACCCTAGGATTAGAGGGGAACTTATTCAACTTGATTTAAAAAAAAAATCTACCAAAGACCTACAGCTAAAACGATACTCGATGTGAGAAACTAGTCTCTCCTGGTGAGAACAAGGCAAGGATGCCCTTCTTACCACTACTTTATCTTCACATTGTACGTCCCAGCTAATGCCATAAGAAAATAAAAGGAAACCAGGAGAAGCACCTGGCTCCTAGCTTCGGATCAGCGCGGTGCGCCGGCCGCAGCGCGCCGGCCGCGGTGGCCATTGGAGGGTGAACCAATGGCAAAGGAAGACCTTTCTCTCTGTCTCTCTCTCTCACTGTCCACTCTGCCTGTCAAAAAAAAAAAAAAAAAAAAAAAAAAAAGTATGTTGACTTGGAAGGAAACAGAACTGTGTTCACAGATACAAGACTGTCTTCAGAAAACCCAGAAGAAGGGGCTGGCATTGTGGTGCAGTGGATTAAGCCACTGCTTGCGACACTGGCATCCCATATTGATATGAGCATAGTCTCAATCCTGCCTTCTCCACTTCTGATCCAGCTCCCTGCTAATGCACCTGAGAAAGCAGCGGAAAATAGCCCAGGTGCTTGGGCCCTTGCCACCCACATGGGAGACCCAGATGGAGTTCCAGGCTCTTGGCTTCAGCCTGGCCTAGCCCTGGCTACTGTAGCCATTTGGAGAGTGAACTGTCAGATGGAAGAACTCTCTCTCCCTCTCTCTGTCAATCTGCCTTCCAGCAAATAAACAAATATTTTTTTAAAAAATTAACTGTTGCCAGGTGTTGAGTGGAGAGAGGAATGGATGAATGGAACAGAAAGGAATTTTAGGAGCATGAACTAACTTATCTATGACGCTGCAAGGGCGGATGCCTGCCATCTCACGTTTGCTGAAGACCACAGAACGCCCATCAATAAGAGCGAAACCCAAAGTAAACTACGTGCCTTGGGTGATGTTTCTGGATAGGCTAACAGAATGTAAAATAAATGTCGATTGGCGCACCATACTGAGAACCGGGAAAGCAGTGGTATGTGAGGGCAGGGAAGTATGTGGAAAAGTCTGTAGCTTCTGCTTAATTTTCCTCTGAATTTCAAATTGCTCCCAAAAAAGTTGATTTTTTTACAATTTCAACACACTACAATTAAATTTTTAAACTCTGGATGGACTTAAAAATTTCTAGTAAAAATTGAATTTTCCAAAACAGAAAGAACTAATTCTCACAGATAAAATAATAAATATTATCAAAGAGTTAATGCCTTCCAGGAGTGCCAAGTGAGTTTTGCTGCAGTGGTCAACTACTAGCAATTATGCTGAGGCCATTTCTACTTCTGCAGGAGAAAGAAAAAGAGAAACTTCTAATTTTGTATATGAAACAAATGTGAGACTGACAGAGCAAAGAAAAGGTGTGCTTTTTTTTGGGAAGATTTATTCTATTTATTTGAAAGACAGAGTTACAGAGAGAGGTAGAGACAGAGAGAGAGATCTTCCATCCACTGGTTCACTCCCCAGATGGATGCAACGGCCAGAACTGCGCCGATCCGAAGCCAGGAGCCAGGAGCCTCCTCCAGGTCTCCCACACGGGTGCAGGGGCCCAAGGACTTGGGCCATCTTCTACTGCTTTCCCAGGCCATAGCAGACAGCTGGATCAGAAGAGGTGCAGCTGGGACTAGAACCGGCGCCCATATGAGATACCGGCCCCAAAAGGTATACTATTAATTTTTACTTTCAACACAAAAATCATAAAGCACCACAAGCAAAATCCAAAGTTAACTACGTGTATAAAATGATCAAGAGAACTTTATTTAGGAAATGCAAACAGTTCAGTATCAGAAGCACAGTACTATAATAAATTATATAAACCATGCTTAATTAAGAAACACCAAATGGGCCGGCGCCGCAGCTCACTAGGCTAATCCTCCGCCTTGAGGCGTTGGCACACCGGGTTCTAGTCCCAGTCGGGGAGCCGGATTCTGTCCCGGTTGCCCCTCTTCCAGGCCAGCTCTCTGCTGTAGCCAAGGAAGGCAGTGGAGTATGGCCCAAGTCCTTGGGCCCTGCACCCCATGGGAGACCAGGAGAAGCACCTGGCTCCTGCCATCGGATCAGCGCGGTACGCCTGCCGCAGCACGCCAGCTGCGGCGGCCATTGGAGGGTGAACCAATGGCAAAGGAAGACCTTTCTCTCTGTCTCTCTCTCTCACTGTCCACTCTACCTGTCAAAAAAAAGAAAGAAAAGAAAAGAAACACCAAATGAGGGCCAGCACTGTGGCTCACTTGGTTAATCCTCCGCCTGCGGCGCCAGCATCCCATATGGGCGCGAGTTCTAGTCCCGGTTGCTCCTTTTCTGGTCCAGCTCTCTGCTGTGGCCCAGGAAGGCAGTGGAGGATGGCCCAGGTGCTGGGGTGCCTGCAACCGCATGGGAGACCAGGAGGAAGCACCTAGCTCCTGGCTTCGGATCGGCGTAACTCCGGCCATAGTGGCCATTTGGGGAGTGAACCAATGGAAGGAAGCCCTTTCTCTCTGTCTCTTTCTCTCTCACTGTCTAACTACCTGTCAAATAAATAAAAATTTTAAAAAAAGAAACACCAAATGAAACACTAACAAGACGTGTGTAGCCCCATCACACTGTGCTGGAGAAACCAGATGATTGATCAGATAACGGTCCAAGTAAGAAATTGGAGATATATATATATATATATATATGTATATATATATATAAACAATAGGTATATATATAAACAATAGGTAAAATGATGGCTATTTGCAAATAACTCAATTGCATGCTACAAACACTAAGGTCCTAGTTACAGTAGCAATAAAAAAGATTAAGCTTCCAGGAATAAACACCAGCAAGATTTGCAAAATTTTCTTCAAAAAACTTTAAAACACAAATGGTGAACACAAAAGACAATCTTAACAAGTGGAAAGATAAACCATAATCTAAGACAGGAAGACTCAACACTATAAATGAAATGGATTCATGTATCATGATTCCAATAAAAATACACTTTTAAAGCTAGACAACCTTGGGGCGGCCACTGCAGCATAGTAGGTAAAGTCACTGTCTACGATGGTGGCAACGGTGGCATCCCATTTGGGTGCCAATCCTTATCCCAGCTGCTTCACTTCTGATCCAGCTCCCTGCTAATGGCTGGGGAAAGTAGCAGAAATGGCCAAAGTGCTTGGCCCTCTGCATCTGCATGGGAGACTTGGAAGAAGTTCCTGGCTCCTGGCTTCAGATCAGCCCAATTCCCGCCTTTGCAGCCATTTGGGGAGTAAACGAGCAGATGGAAGATCCCTTCTCTCTCTCTCTCTTTTTCCCTCGTCCTCTCTGTAGCTCTGCCTTTTAAATAAATAAATAAATATTTAAAAAGGAGAAAACCCAGACAAGTTTTATTCTAAAACGAAAATGGAAAGAGTAACAAAAAAAAGTATAACCAAGGAAATTAAAGGTAAGTGGAAAGTCATCTCAGATATTGATACATGTATAAGAGCTTACTAACTGTACACTAATTAAAAATAATGATTAAAAGAATAAACCCACAAATTAGACTAAAGAATCCAAAACAAAATCCAAATGCAAATGGGGAACTGAATGTATGATAAAGGTGACTTTTCCAGTCAGTGGGTAAAGGGCCGGAGTCCTGGAGCAGCGAGTTCAGCTGCTGCTTGTGACGCTGGTGATCCACATGGGTGCCGGTTCAAGTCCTGGCTGCTCTGCTTCTGATCCAGCTTCCTGCTAATGCTCCTGGGGAAACAGTGGATGGCCCAAATATATGGACCCCTGCCACCCATCTGGGAGTCCCAGATGGAGTTCCTGGCTCTAGGCTTCAGCCTGGCCCAGCCCCAGCCAAGGTGGCCATTTGCGGAGTGAACCATCAGATGGAAGATCTCTCTCACTCTCTCTCTCTTTTAACTTTTATTTAGTAAATATAAATTTCCAAAGTACAGTTTATGGATTACAATGGCTTTCCCCCCATAACTTCCCTCCCACTCGCACCCTTCCCATCTCCTGCTCCCTCTCCCATTCCATTCACATCAAGATTCATTTTCAATTCTCTTTATATACAGAAGATCGATTTAGTATATATTAAGTAAAGATTTCATCAGTTTGCACCCACACAGAACATAAAGTGTAAAATACTGTTTCAGTACTAGTTATAGCATTACTTCACATTGGACAACACATTAAAGACAGATCCCACATGAGAAGTAAGTATACAGTGACTCCTGTTGTTGACTTAACAAATTGACACTCTTGTTTATGGCGTCAGTAATCTCCCTAGGCTCTAGTCATGAGTTGCCAAGGCTATGGAAGCCTTTTGAGTTCGCTGACTTCAATTTTATTCAGACAAGGTCATAGTCAAAGTGGAGGTTCTCTCCTCCCTTCAGAGAAAGGTACCTCCTTCTTTGAAGACCTGTTCTTTCCACTGGGATCTCATTCACAGAGACCTTTCGTTTAGGTCTTCTTCTTTTTTTTTTCCAGAGTGTCTTGGCTTTCCATGCCTAAAATACTCTCATGGGCTCTTCAGCCAGATCCAGTGCCTTAAGGGCTGATTCTGAGGCCAGAGTGCTATTTAGGATATCTGCCATTCCATGAGTCTGCTGTGTATCCCGCTTCCCATATTGGATTGTTCTCTCCCTTTTTGATTCTATCAGTTAGTATTAGCAGACACTAGTCTTGTTTGTGTGATCCCTTTGACTCTTAGACCTATCAGTGTGATCAACTGTGAACTGAAATTGATCACTTGGACTAGTGAGATGGCACTGGTACATGCCACCTTGATGGGATTGTATTGGAATCCCCTGGCACGTTTCTAACTCCACCATTTGGGGCAAGTCCGATTGAGCATGTCCCAAATTGTACATCTCCTCCCTCTCTTATTCTCACTCTTATATTTAACAGGGATCACTTTTCAGTTAAAATTTAAACACCTAAGAATAATTATGTGTTAATTACAGAGTTCAACCAACAGAACTAGAACAACAACAACAAAAATACAAAAAGGGATAAAGTATTACATTGTACATCAACAGTAAGGACAAGGGCTGATCAAGTCACTGTTTCTCATAGTGTCCATCTCACTTCAACAGGTTTCCCCTTTGGTGCTCAGTTAGTTGTCGCCGATCAGGGAGAACATATGATATTTGTCCCTTTGGGACTGGCTTAATTCACTTAGCATAATGTTTTCCAGATTCCTCCATTTTGTCGCAAATGACTGGATTTCATTGTTTTTGACTGCTGTATAGTATTCTATGGAGTACATGTTCTCTTTCTCTCTCTCTTGCTCTGTCACTCTGCCTTACAAAGAAGGAAAATAAAATTTTTAAAGAGTTATGTTATGCAATAAGTAATATTAGAATCAAAAAACTATCTTGGGGGGAAACTGGATCAGTAACACTGAAGCATGACACATTCTAAGTATATAAAAGATTTAAAAGTTGCAATAGGGTGAGGAAATTCCATTATAACTATGGAAGATCCTCCTAACTAAGACTCTAAAACCAGAAGTCACAAAGTTTGAGAAATTTGACTACAGGATCCACAAATTGATCAACGATCCAACAGGAAAATAGGGACAGTATTAACATGCAGTTGAAGAAAATCAATTGCTAATAACTCTTCAAGACATTTAGTCTCACTCATAATAAAAAGAAATGCAAATTAAATTACTCTTACATTTTTTTCACCTCGTAGATTGATAGAAATAGAAAACAAATTGCTAATGTACGCTGTTGGCAAAGGTACAGAGAAACAAGACTACAGTATATCACTGACAATTATGTGAACTGGTGCACTCTGAGGGTGAGCACTGGTAATAATAACTCAAAACTACAAATGCCAATACCCTTAACCCAGCAATTTCACTTCTGGGGACTTTTCCTACAAATGTATGTTCACATGTGGATAAATATGTCTACATATGGTTATTCAATTTATATGATGTGATTTGGGGGAGCTGATCTATTCATTGAATCTGGTCAAAACCATGCAGCTCTCCCAAACTGGTAAGTGAAGATTTCTAAGATAAATTGTTAAGTGAAATAACGTGTGAAACAGGGTGTATAGAATCTAAACTTTGGGCACAGAAGTAAAAATGCATTTTTATTTGATTTTACATGCTTAAAATTTGGGGAGGCATTGGGGCCGGTGCTGTGGCATAGTGGATAAAGCCACTACCTGCACTGCCAGCATCCCAAGTGGGTGCCAGTTTGAGACCCAGCTGCTCTACTTCTGATCCAGCTCTCTGCTATGGCCTGGGAAAGCAGTAGAAGATGGCCCAAGTCCTTGGACCCCTAAACCCGCATGGGAGACTTGGAAGAAGCTCCTGGCTCCTGGCTTTGGATCGGCACAGCTCCGCCAGTTGCAGTCAATTGGGGAGTGAACCAACAGATGGAAGACCTCTCTCTCTGTCTCTCTCTACCTCTCCTTTTTGCTGTGTAACTCTGACTTTCAAGTAAATAAATAAATCTTTAAGCAAAAATTGGAGGACGCATAAATAGGAAAATATTAAGCATGGTTAGATATTGGGAAATGAGAGGACTAGATAGATGCAGAACAGAGAGATATATATTTTATGTTTTATATATTTTTATGTTTTCCAACCACTTGACTAAGGTCATATTTCAAAAATTGAAGGTAGGGCCTGGTGCCATGGCTCACTTGGCTAATCCTCCTCCTGCGGCCCCAGCATCCCAGATGGGCGCCGGGTTCTAGTCCCGGCTGCCCCTCTTCCAGTCCAGCTCTCTGCTGTGGCCCAGGAAGGCAGTGGAGGATGGCCCAAGTGCTTGGGCCCTGCACCCTCCTGGGAGACCAGGAGGAAGCACCTGGCTCCTGGCTTCAGATTGATGCAGCGCGCCGGCCGTAGTGGCCACTTGGGGGGTGAACCAATGGAAGGAAGACCTTTCTCTCTCTCTCTCTCTCTCTCACTGTCTGTAACTCTACTTCTCAAATAAATAAATAAAATCTTAAAAAGAAGAAGAAGAAGAAGAAGAAGAAGAAGAAGTAGTAGAGCAGCCAGGTCTGGAATCTGTGCCTGTATAGCATGCTAGCGCTGCACCACAACGCTGGACCCTCAAATCTTTAATTAAAAACAAACAAACTAATTAACAAAAAACGCACGCACCACATGAATATCTCTTTTCCTCGCCACCCGGTTTTGATATGAAGACCTGCCTGACATTGTGCTCTTCAAGGACTCCGTCTTGCTATTTTGATGGTGCTTTCTCAGCCAGTCCTTATCCAGTTTTAAACCTGCAGCACAGTGAGGCTGCTGCCTGTGCACTACTTGAAGTTGCTTCCTTAGTTTCACAGCACTATGGTCTTCAATGGCACAGACACTTAGAATCAGCTGAGGGCCAGGCACCGTGCTGGAGGAAATAACCTCACCCAGCTGTGGTGCGGATTCATGAATTAATACTTACAAAATGATTGGACACTTTCACTGTCATCAGCATTTGCTCAGATGACAACTGGATGATCAGTCAGATGTCTAGAGAGAGAGAGCTCTGCACTGGACAACAGAAAAGCAACAGACCTGGCACAAGGGACTGGCTTCTGGGACCAGTATTGTGGTGTAGAGGATAAAGCCACCATCTGCAGTGCCAGCAGCCCACATGTGTGCCAGTCTGTGTCCCAGCTGCTCCACTTCCCATCCAGCTCCCTTCTGATGGCCTGGGAAGGACAGTGGAGGATGGCCCAAGTACTTGAGCCCCTGCCACCCATGTGGGACACCTGGAAGAGACCCCTGGCTCTTGGCTTCAGCCTGGCCCAGCACTGGCCATCATGGCCATCTGGGGAACGAACCAAGCAGATGAAAAGGTCTTTCTCTCTGTCTCTCCCTCTCTTCTCTATAACGCTTTCCTTTTTTTTTTTTTAATTTTTAATTTGACAGAGTTATAGACAATGAGAGAGAGAGAGACAGAAAGAAAGGTCTTCTATCCACTGGTTCACTCCTCAAATGGCCGGTATGGCCGGCGCTGCACCGATCTGAAGCCAGGAGCCAGGTGCTTCCTCCTGGTCTCCCACGCAGGTGCAAGGCCCAAGCACTTGGGCCATCCTCCACTGCTTTCCTGGGCCACAGCAGAGAGCTGGACTGGAAGAGAAGCAACTAAAACCCCAGCGCCCACATGGGATGCTGGCGCCACAGGCGGAGGATTAACCAAGTGAGCCATGGCACAGGCCCCATGTAACTCTGACTTTCAAATAAATAAATAAATTGATCTGTAAAAAAAAAAAAAAAAAAAAAAAAACACACACACACACACACACACACAGATGATGGCTTCCAAGAACAGGAGATGATTCCCCAGTAAACAAAGGTGGAAATGGGCACCTACCTAGGAGACCGTGTATTATTGATAGTAATAATGATAAAGATAAGACTCTACCTGTTACTTCAACACCTGCTGTGTTGCACTTTTTAACCGCTTAGTCTCGTTTAATCACATGCAACCCTGCAAAATCTACTGTCTATCTCCGTTGTGTAGATAAGGAAACTACACTTAGCCCCTAAGCACCCAGCAGTTTCAAGAAGAGTAACTAGAAGTCCACGGTTGCTGAAGTCAACATGAATGAGGCCACGCAGCGAGTGCTTCAACCTCTCTTTTAACAAGGTGGTCCACAGGATGAGGGGAGGAGTTGGTGCCTGCTGGTTTGCGACCTACGACTCCACTGGGCTGGGTTAGGCCGGGCTGAGTTTTGAGTAAAGCCTTCTCACAGGCCTACTGCATGCTCCAGATCTTTCCATCTCTTGAGGTCTTGCTCTCAGTCTCAAAACTCTAGCACCAATCTCCCACGGAGATCCACCCATGACTGGGAGTCTCACTTCACAGGTTGGGAGATGCGTCTGGCTGTGCTCTGTTACCACCTGAGGATGCCACTCCCACCATCAACTCAAAATCAGCAGGCTCAAACCGAAAGCCAGGCTTCTCGGTCTCCTCCACTTCTGCCCTTGCATTCTTTACACAGAGTAGATACTCCATAAATTAAATTACCCCAGAACCTTGTCAAAGAAATATACATGAGAACCCAATATGGTTAACAGAGATTAATTACATATAATTCATCTTCAAGACATGGTATACTAACTTGGATGATTTCTTTAAAGATTATCTCCTTCCCCGAACTTGACTCTTTTCTTCTATATGATGGAAACCTCACTAAGGAATGACAACACTAGGAGAAGGTTAATAAATTATTCTCAAATACTCACTGGAAACTCTTAGATCCTATCTGTCGCTCCCCGTCTTCGTGGAGGAACGACACAGGACCCTGCGCTGTTCTTTTGTCTGCTCGGCCCTCCCCAGGTTTGCCGCTGGTTCTTCCCGGGTTGGCTACCGTCCCTTCCACCTCCGTGGAAGGGCGGTTCCCCCTGCCACTTTCCCCACTTCCACGGGAGAGCGGCACACCGCCGACCGGCTCTCTCGGGGGCTGCACAGGTGTTCCTTCAGATAGATGTTCCCGGTGCATGTTGTCTCTCTCCTCCTTTATAGTCCTCTTCCACCAATCCCAACTCTGCTACCCACACGCCTAGTACGCTGCTCTCCTCCAATCAGGAGCAGGATCAGCTCCTGCAGGTCATCACTCAAGTTGGCGAGAGGCAGCTGCATAGAAGTTGTTACTCCCTTCTCAGCGCCATATTGTGGGAGAGCAGATGCATAGAATAAGTCTTAATTCCAGTAACAGTCTAGTCCGAGTTGCTCCCCACACCTATCTACATTAAATATCATTCCCAAGACTGAAGACTTTGTTTGCTGTGGAATTTTATCAGATTTTTTATTTTATAAGATATTACATTAAAATATTGTGGACCTTAACTACTGGAGGATTTGTGGGGTTTGTTTTTGCATTTTTGATTATTCCTTAAATGTGGCACCTCATTCTAGTCCTGGTTCTGCCAGCGGAGGGCCTGATTTTGGAGCAAGAGAAGAGAAAAAAGCTTTAACATATTTACTTTCTATTTCCTGCTTGGGACACAAAAACTGATGCAGCCATACAATCTTTGCATTAAATCATTATTCTGTTTAAAGCTGCCATTCCTCTCCTGATTGCCAGTCCTTCACCATTTTTATGGTGCAAGATCTCACTTCCAGGAGGTTCTCATAAGAAAGACATTCCACTGGCGAAGGCAAACACACAAAGAAGATGTATGCAGAGACATTAAACTGTATAAAGATATATATATTTCTAAAGAACAAAGGCAAAGCTTTTCCCAAGCTTTGTCCTTTGAAGGAAAGGAGCTTTCTTCCTACTGCTCCTCTTGCCAACTGGTTCCCCAACAAGCAGGCTTCGGAAAAGTG